ATCTGACTCTGTCTCCTGAGTGTTTGTATTAAGGGTAGGCATCGCCATGCCTGGCTGAATAGTGTTTGTTGACCAGAGCCCCCAAATCAAATACATTGCTTACAAAAGTGTCAAAATGCCAGGCGTGTTGGTGTTGGTGTTGGTGGTGCACACCTTTAATTCCAACACTTGGGAGGCAGAGGCAGGCAGATCTCTGTGAGTTTGAGGCCAGCATGGTCTTCAGATTGAGTGAGTTCCAAGACAGCCAGGGCTACACAGTGAAATCCTGTCTTGAAAAACTAAACCAAACCAACCTAACCCAAGAAACCAAAACCAACAACAAAAAAAGCCTGTCAAAATGATTATAAGTGCTCCTTTGTTTTAGGAACATATTTCATAAGGGGAAAATGTCGCAGATATTGGCTTATTTTAAGAAGATGTGCCTCTTTGAAATCATTTTTAAGGTTGGAAGTTTTACATTAGTTTTAGAGCCCATTATTAACCTACATAAGCTAATAGAAATACAAAAATCCAACTGAGTTGAGGGGAAGAAGAAGGTGAAGTGTAGAGGTTGTGTTGTTACCATGTACTTCCCTGTCTCCCACTGGCCTGATAACATGCTCTCCACAGGATGGAGTGGGCCTTGTCCATCTAGTTGCAAGTGACTGAAGCAAAACAGCCCTTTCTGGCTCTGTAATGTCTGCATAATCACCTATTAGGACATGCTTCCTCTCTCCAGCATGTTTCCTTTTATTCTGCTGCATCTTACTGCTTAGCACTTAGGCCCTCTAGGACAGCCCCACAGAACCTTTGACCCCATGATGTTTATGCATCCTGCAGACTCTTAAAGTGGCAGTCACAACACTGCTCTTTTGTCAATTAAGCAAAGATCTTGTGGTCTCTTTCTGGATGCCAGCTGACAGGTGACAAGTGCAAAGGCTTGCCAATCATTTCCCCGCAAGAAAATTCTAGAAATCGTCTGACTGTGTCTACCTCTTATGCATCAGGCATTCATAGAAAAGATGACAGCCAACCTCTCAGTGTGATGGAACACTCAGTGAACTTTATGACTTATTTCCTATCCCACTCATGTCTTTGTGGTTGGCTGTATCTTACGTTGCAGCCTGAAATGTACGCCATTTGTTTTTCTTGCAGACAAAGTATAATTGGATTTATCTTTGTCAGGAGACAATCTATTATGGCCTTTATTTAATACAGTTTCAAATGTCTTTCAGGGGCAGAAACAAATTAATGTACATTTTTACTGGGTGTTGTATCTATTTAATCGACTGTCAAAGTGATGAGATGTTAGGCAATCATTCAGCGAGGTCCATCTCCCTCCACCCAACAGCTCACACATTAGGTAGGTTTGCCCTGTCAGTGGGATGCCTTTAGAAAACACTAATAGCTTCCAGCTGGGTGGAAAATCAAAACCTTTGGGGTCTGACAAAACTAGAAGATTTGAATTTGAAAGCAGAGCTAATGCCTCCATTTTATTTTTTACCACTCGCCCATAAAACATTATTTTCCAATATGTCAGCCTCATTTGGTGGCCAGTGGTCTGCAATAGAAGGTGGAACAAGGAAGCGGAGAAATCTGGACATTTGTGAATCCGCCCTTTCAAGCTGGTGTGCCACTTTGTGGAAGGGTCTCCCTGAGAGCAGGGGGGTCTAATGACCATTCATCAATGCTCGTTGGCTGATCATTGGGTGCCTTCTCATTCACTTTATCAAGTCTTGCACATAAAAAGTCAGAATAAACCTTATTCAGCTTTGTTAAAGCCAACTAGAAGTAAAGCGCTCCATTTGACCCATCCTGCCCTGGTTTTTTTTCACTTTGTTAATGCAGCCCCGCTTAAATGAGTGCCTTTATTGGGCCGGTTAGAATATCTGAAACTATTAATTCTCTTGTATTGAATAGCTGGTGGCAGGCCAGAGCAGATGGGGTAGGAAAGTATTTGGTTGGGTGTATTGCTTTCAATTAGGATCAATGAGGTTCCAGATCCTTTGAATTAACTCACTTAATACCCACTGTGTGCAGGCACAGTGTATCCCAACAGTCTGCAAGAGGCAGGGAGGGAAGTTGAGAAGGCCCCAGAAAAGCTTCCGTCCCAGTTCTCTCTTCCCTAGGGTGGAGGTCTCTCCTTTACTGCAGAGAATGCCACAGGAGGGAGTCAGGTCTGAACAAAGGGAAAACTGTACTGCATTGCTCTTCTGCTTGGGGGGGGGGGGCACAGCAATGGGACTCTTGGACGATGAGTGATGAGGAAGCTACAGTCACAAACCTACTCACCTGTTTTGTTTTTCTCTTTAGTGAGCCCATCATTTCATTATTGGCCGAATTTGCTGATTTTGAAAATGGTGATTTAGACAATTCTTCATTTCAAAACTGCCTTTACAAAACAGTCTTCCTACTAAGTTGAAAGTTATGTACTAATGGCCAGGACTTCCCTGAGAAAGTGCTTAATTGGTCATTAATGTATTCTTTGTTGTTTTGAATACATCTTAATTTTATAAACTCCATAGTGATGGTGATGATACAGGACGGTGTTTTGTACTGGAGGAAACTTTCCCAGTACATACTCTGAGTCCTTTGGTGGTCACCATTCACCTATGTCAATGCATTTATCATGCTATCGATTTCTGCTATACAATTTGGATGTTATATCTATTTTTATTATTCAATTTGGATGTTAGAGATCTTGGCTCCATGTACTACTCTTTTTATTAAAGGGTAAGTTATTTCTGTCTAAGTAACTGCATCTATACATAGCCAGGTTTCCCCGTTCAGGGAGAGATGCCAAATGGGGCTGCAGCTTTGCCTGTCTCTGGGTTAAAGAAGGGGACGGGACGTGCTCCTTGAGAAAATGCTGAACTAGCCTCAGATGCAATCAGACTTCTAGGTGAGAGTCTCCAGGGATCCAGGTTGTGTTGACGTGGATCAATTTAAAGTGGCAATTACTGTAGTCAGATAACAGCTTAAAAAGCCTTTTTACACATAGAAAAGATACATAATCACACAGCATATGGAAGTTCAATTTTCTGAGCTGTGGTTTAGGGACTTGGAGTGTACCGATATTAAGACCCAGGTTGAAAACCAGATATCCAGTTTTCGTGAAGTGTATTGCAATTTGTCATATGATTTTCTATTTTAGAAGTGATTCACCATGCATATTGATGTAAGGTTGGGTGTCCCACTGTGAAAATGTTTTCTTTCTAACATAGGTATAGTATTAAAAAAAAGTGGTGTATAGCATTGAGTGGCTTTTAAAAAAAAAAAAAAAAAAAAAAAAAAAACCTCTTTTTAAAAAATGAAACTCCTCTGATTTAGGATTCTGGATTCCATAAAGGCCCTTATGCCAGCACTTAATTGATGATCATACTCATGCATGCTATAACACTTTCTGCCACAAGAATGTTTGAGCTTGGTGCTTAACCGAACTGAAATCCATTACACAGAACCTCATTACAAGTGACATCTAGCTAAGATGAACAAAAAGATTGGCCTCATAAATAGACTGTAGTATACTATTAGTGACAGAACAGAGTAATCATTATGAATTGTAGTCTTTTTACAAGTTGGCTCTGACAGTGATGGATTTTTGAGGGGTTCACTGGCTGAAGCAGTCCTTCTCAGGTCCAGTGTGCAGGGGCTGTGGAAGTTCTTATTGATCGATGCTGTTTATCAAAGATGATGTATTTTTTGTTTGTGCCGGGTGTGTGTTGTGTGCTGGTGTCTGAAATACTCTTGGGCAAAGGGATAGGAAGATGGTGCGTAGAGGGTAGAATCGCTTTCTGCTTTCTGGGGTCATTTAGGGTTTCTTGAAGGCAGCAAGGAGGGGGTAAAGATCAACTTTTCAAAAGCTTATAGAAAATGCCAGATAAGCAAAGGACATCTTGGTCACTTCCAGAATAGCAAGAGTTAAAGGGGCCGATCCTGTCTTCATGGTCACTGAGCTGGCTGGTTGGTCAGCCCTGGGCAGAATTGTTTAGTAGAAATGTGTGTGTCTAGCAGATTGGATGGATGTACATTGGAAAGGTAGAGTTGGGGGGTTGGCCACCACAGGAGCCCTGTTGTTAAAACAAACAAACAAGGGAACAACACAGACCCTGGGAAGAGTTACGAGTGTTAAATTGTAAAGAAGAGTCTTCGAAAGAATGATATTCTCCTTCTGCGTTTTCCTGTGTTTAGAAACAGGCATGCAAGGCAGGCAGGCAGGCTTATGTTTTCCCCTATGAGGCAAGGATGTTTTACAAAGGACTAGAGGGAGACCGCTGAGAGGAAAATAGCCAGCTTTAGATAAAGCACCATAACAAAGGCTCCTAGTTTTATATATCATGGTGTCCATTAAAGCTTAATAGGGAAGAGTCCATTGAACCGGGCTGGGTACGTGTTATTCATGGTCAGGATAAACATTGAGGGTGTGCAAAAAAAAAAAAAAAAAAAAAAAAAAGTCAGAAATCAGGAGGGCATGATTGTTCAGCTTTTGAAAAGGCTTTACAAGGAAGATGTTGTTTTTGTCTCCCGTGGATCTCTATGCAAAGTAGAGGAGAGTGAGCTGAAAAGGTTTGGAGCATTATCAACATGGGATCCCAGGAGATTCAAAGCACTCTAGTGAACTAAAAATGGTTGGATTCCGCTTCGAAAAGAGCGTGCTGTTTTACACATGTGATTGAGAAGCTGACCAAAGAGTAATGTAACTCCTGATACTTCGTGCTGGACAGTGAGCTGGCACAGCACACCGTCTTACAAGATGTTTTAGGTTGTTCGGGGTTTCCAGATCAATAAAAGAGCTTTGCGGTCTGTGCCCTTGTTTGTTCCAAGCCCCATTTCCCAGTAATGCCTGTTAAAATTAGAAGAGGTAGGATGCCTTGCAGCGTGAGTTGTGGGAGCCAGGTCAACATTGCCGTCGTTCGGCAAGATAAGGGTTAACTTTGAGCTGGGAAGGGGGTGGTGATGAATGAATTATTCAGCATTTAGCTTATCTTTCTGCATTTCACTTTCTGCTTTTTGGTGTTCTGGAACGGGGGCTGGAGGTAGAGTGGAGAAGGGAAGGCAGGAGTTGTGATACTTTGCACACACGTCCCTGTCATTGTTCTGCCTGAAGAGACAGGGCTGGGTTCAAGGCCACATGTGCTCCTGTCATCCTCCACATTTCTGCTCCAAGTGCAATCCGGAGTGTCAGCTCTCCATCTGTCTCTGGCTGGCAGGCGCACGCGCCCAGCTCCCTGCCTCGGGCCATGCTGCCCCAGCCCCTCTGATGGCCCTCCTCTCCGCCGCCCCGCACATTCCAGAACAGGAGGCATGAGCCCGCATCGCACTCCCTCTTAACACTGAGTCGCTTTCAGTGTGTTACACGCTGGATTCCAGGATGCCTGGTGAGTGAGCCCAGTGTTCTTGCAGGGAAGGAAGCTTTACTTTCTATAAGGCGTGCAAACACCGCCAGCCCTGCCACTACTGTATTGGGCGAGGGCAGGGAGAGGCTGTGGGGTGATCGAGGTGTGATTGGGAGGCAACATAAGGAAGCTATCAAAATCTGGACGTAGGGGTGCAGGGTATGGAGAGGTGTGTCTCTGAAGCTCAGCGGAAGGACAGCAGGGGATGTTTTTGCCTGAGCAGTTTACACAGGGGATTAGCCTCACTAATGTAGTCTCTGTTCTGGGTTTCAGGACTGTTATCTGCACTTTCTTTGCCGGCTATTTGTTTGTGGAGAGAGTTTTTTAGGTTATGGTAGAATTCTCGGAGAAGGTCTTTGAAGGGCTGTTTATGTCAAAGAAAATGAAGGAAGCTTTGGCACTAGAAGGGATTTCTTGCCCTAAATCCCATTCTTAGATGTTATCATGGAAACAGTTGAAATCTGGTCATTTAGAAGTCTGCTGGGTCAGTGATATTCTTGTGTCCCTGGAAATTTAGTGTATGACAGTTTCCCGAAACATATTATCTTTGGAGACTGGTGTGTTCCTGTCGTTGCTGCCAGGGAAGGCTGCGCCTGTGAACCCTGGAGCGGAGAGGGGCTGTCTCTGCCGCTCTGGAGAAGTCTCTAAATTGTCCTGTGCTGCCGCTGCATGCAGAACAAATAAAGGCAGGGCACTTAGAGCTTCCAGCTGGCTGCTGTGTGCAGATTATTTGGGTAGGGCAGGCAGAAGAGACTGTGTTGGTCAGAGTCTGTACACCTCCCAGATGGTGTTTTGAAACATTATCTGCCAGTTTTCTGCAACCACAGTTGTGTGTAGGTATCGCCAGTCGTTTGAGGAATGTTTTCCATTTAGTTACATCTCGGAGTCCGTTCTCATCATTATTGATATGTGTGCAGAAAGGAGGCATTGGTCCAGGGTTGCACTTTTTCTGTTGTTTGGGGGACCAGGAATGCATAGGAGCTGAAATATGGGGAAAGCCAATTTACCCAAAAGATAATAACCGAGGTCTTAGATAGGCAATTTTAACTCCCTAAGTTCTCACCTTGATTTGTATGTACCATGTAGTGGAAGAGGAAATGTACCCTTGATCTATAATATGGAATTGGTGTGAAACTGCTGGTTTATTTATTTATTTATTCTTATTTTATTAGGCCATTGGAGCACGGTTTCATGTAGATTTTAAAGTTCAAGTGTTCTTTGTTTTTTATGCTCTTAATAGAGTGTTACATGGTGTAGCAGCATCCTCTAGAGTACGTGGTATTTTGGTAAAATAGACCCAAAGCCACTTGTATATGATGACGGGGGATGGGCATTAGTTAAGGCCTCTTCTCCCTAACCCTCACATGACTTTTAAAGTGGTCTCCGAAGTATTGAACTTAAGGCTTTGCCCTTGCAAGCTGGTTTTAGTGTTAAGTTGTTAATATCTGACTGGTTCTGTATTGGTGTTCTGAAGTAAGGGTGCACACTCCCTCCCTCCCTCCCTCCTTCCCTCTGTCTCTCCCTCTCTACCTCTCTCCTTCCATGTTAGATAACCTTGTACTTGGATGCAGAATTTATCAACAGCTGTGACCATGAGCATGTTCTAGAATAGCCATACTTGAGCAAATCTGACTGATACTTGGCTTATATTAACAGACTTTTTTTTTTAAAAAGCCATCTTGGGGATACCTTTTGCATTTTTAATAGAACATTCTGTGTAGAAGTTTAAAAAGAAAGATGTTTGTATAACCTGGTATCACTAGGGTTTTTTTTTTATTGCCTACACATTTAACTATCAACTTTCCAATTTATTTCTTAGTAATTCAAGTGTCAGAAGTGGTTCCTTATCTTAGACTTGATGTAATAGTCTTCAGATCTAAGACGTCTCTCGTAAAGCCTAAAGTCAGTAGAAACAGATGTGAGTCCCTGAGCTCAATCAGGCTCACAGCATCCGGGGAGTGGGCAGGTGAGGAAAACGTTTTAATTTAGGCTTTTGTGGAACTGTTCTGGGAAAAGAACACCCCCTCCTTTTGTTAGTTGTGGATAACATACTGTTACAAAATGAAAAGTCAGAGGAGGTTGTACTTGCTTTAAAGAAATAACCTATGTTGAGGTTACCTAACTCACTCAGAAGGAAATAGGACTAAACTAACTAACTGCCTGTCACTGTTTGGTTGTTGTTTTGTTTTTGTTTTTGACAAGCTGACCCTTATGTAGAAGAGAAGGAGAAGTGTTCTTATAGAAGTCTGGGAGACCTTGGTATTACATTGTTTCAAGAGAAAGTAATCCCGATATTTCTGAAACATTTGTATTTTTGTCAGTCTTTGTGTACTATTATCAAACAACAGGCATTGACCTACAGAATGCGTTCAGGACTGTGTCCTTAAAAGGACAGTCAGTGAGCACAGTCCCTGGAGCCCAGAAATAGTGCTGTTCTTTCAGAAGATGGCTAGCATTAGGTCAGACCACCCTTTCTCAATGGCCCTGCTCTCCAGATGTGCCGGGAACTTTTTTTTTTTTAAAGTTCAAGTTTCCAAAAGGGGGGAAAAAAAGGTTTGTTTTGAAAATCTGGTTTTACTTAAGACATCTCCATCCTGGAGTGCATTTCATAAATTGCCCACATATTTTTCCTAGCAGAGAACTTAACTGGCTGTAATCTTTAACACATGGCCACATCATGTGATATTTTCAAAACACTTACACATAGCTTTGAGAAGGTCCCTGCAGAAACGATCCCTCCTCTCACAGCCAGCCCATTTTTTAACAGCATATCTGCATTTTCCATTTAGGAGAGCTATATATTATTAGCTTACATTTTTGGGTAGTAAAACAGTGCATTGCTGATTGTAAAACATGGACTTTATTATCTGCTGAAAATTGATTTGGCATTTATGGCCACTGTGTACTAGGCTGTTTTTCTGTTTTTAACATCAATGCTTGCAAGCGATGATTTGTGTTAAAAAAAAAAAAAAACAAAAAACAAAAAAAACAAACAACAACAACAACAACAAAGAAAACTCAAAACAAAACTAGAAGTGAAATTGCCAAGGACAGGTAACTGTTAGTGTCCCTTGTAACTGAACATTTGGGTAATACACCTGGTTATATATGTATGTTTTAATAGATGTTTGTAAATCCTATTATGCAGGAATAAAAACATTGCACTCATGTACCAGCACTGTTTTACTTTGCAGGTCCGTTTGCCATCCTAGTAGGTTGGTGCTTATGTTTCAAATAAGTCTCATGACAGCTATTAAAAGAAAACTATATGAGTCATAAATACCCAATTATAAACGTAGATTATACAGATATTTCTTCTTTGGAGCAGAAATTCAGAAGTTTCAACTTCCATCCAAACCCTCTTACCTATACCTTCGTCTCTTAAGTTCTTTTCTGTTAATGTTCTTTAGTACTTGGCCTTTCAACTCTATATATCTCAAATAACTTGGAAGTGATTATAGTTTCTTTCCCTATACATGGTCTATGTTTTTGATCTTCTCAGAGAGAGAACCATACAGAGAGAGAGGAGTTTTTTTTTTTTTTTTTTTTTTTTTTTTTTTTTTAATACTTTGTTCCATAGAGACAGAGTTGAGGCAGAGGCTACCTAAGGCTGCCCTCTGTTGCTTAGAGACTTGCAGGGCAGCCTGGCTACCTCTGAGCCTCTTTCAAAAGCAACACAAAACAAATAACCCACCGCAGAGTCCCTGTTGTTCATTTTCATTTCCTTAATAGCATTTGCTTAGTGGGCATTCTGTCGTCTAGAAATGTCTACTCCTTATCATCTCTATGCTGGTAACTGATGGTTACAGAGATGACTCGGGATTTCTGATATCTGAACAGCCTTCTGGGTCATCTGTAGAGCTAGAAGGTTTTATCTTGCAAACCTTTGCTTTAGAGAGGCTGAAATTGAGTTTCCACAGGTGAAGGGGTCTGTCAAGTCATTCCTCCCTTTAAGATTTCCCCTAGTCTCTGTTCTTGCATGCGGCTTCTAAATGTTCTTTTACTGGAATCATGTCACCATGTCACAACCAGCCCCCCCCCCCAGCACTAGATCACCCTAACTTGTTTTCTTCCTTCCTGTTGAGGAGTGAAACTCCCATGACATAGAACACTCAGCCTGTGCAACAGTATGCCATGCCTGTAACTTTATAATGCTTTGGAAAGTAGGAGCTAGATAGGGTTCCTTGGGAGAATGTGTGGGGGCAAGATCTTGGGTATTTAGCCCAGGCTGTCCCCAAACTCCCAGAGATCCACCTGCCTCTGCCTCCCAGCTGCTGGGTTGAAAGTCATGTGCCACTGCACCTGGCAATAATTGATGTAACAGCCAAAAACGGGAGGGGTGTTTGAACATGGCTCAGAGTATGCCAGGTACAAAAGATAATCCTGGTTCACTTCTTCCTTTTGTTCAAGTGGTCATAGCCTGGGGATCTTGTTGTGAAAGTAAGTGGATCCTGGGCATGGTATCTCATAAAAGAACCTGCATTAGGAGTCAAAGACTTCTAGGGTGAGGGATGGATAATGGGCCAATTAAATCCTCATTAGAAAGCTTGTCCCCTTTCTTGGTCAGTTAGGAAACTTAACAGTGTTTGGATATGTTGCTCTTGAACTAAGAATGGGACATTCTTCGTTGTTTCATTGAATTGTAATTCTTGTGTGAACGAGGGACGTAGTATTTCAGAAAGCAGTGCCTTTGTGTGGCTGCAGTTCTTTGGTATTTAACTGTAGCTCGAGGAGTAAGCCATTAACTTAAATGACTCATAACTTGAGAACAATGGGATGTCACACCTGACCAAGTAACAGTTTGATCTGGCTGGCTTTCTCAAACAGCTGTTTGCATTAATTAATATTAATGTAAATGTGCTTTCTGAGAATGTCTAGCTTAATTATGTTTTTCAACCTATAGAGTTGCAATCAAAGGAATCAAGGAACCTTAATCTCAAACTACTGTTTCTTTTTTTTTCTTTCCTTTCTTCTTTCTTTCT